GGTCTCGAACCCGCAGGCTCAGGCAATTCACTCACCTCGGCCTCCCAAAGTGCGGGATTACAGGCTGAGCCACTGAGCTCGGCCCACCCTCCGCCTTAATGAGCGTCACTGGTTTAAGAAATTATGATTCAGTGTATGGACCAGTGACCTGAGAAATCGGGGCACAATGGAGCTGATCTTTCGTATAAGGCAAAAATAACTACTGAAGAGGCTTTAAAGTCCTGCTTTACATAAGATACTTGTGACTGCGTGTTTGACACTGAGGTGCACAAGAGAACTGAAATCTTTTCCGGGAGCATCCCTCATTGGGGGCATTACCTGGCAGAAAGAATTGGCCACATTCTTTGAACTATTTCCCATCTACCCCTTTCCTATAAGTGTTCTGCTTGTAGGATGCCATTCCTTTATGCTTACCTGGACTTCCGTTAGAGATAGCTTATTGCCCTTGTACAAATGTGAGCCAGTTTTCTCTTGACTGCGTAGGCTGGGTTAGGTGAGCTTCTAGGTAAAACAAACTGTGATTGTTTTAGGGAGAAGCTAGAAGCACAAATTCAAGCTGCCTGAGGCTGGGTAAGTCACCCAGCAAGGTGGGGGTAGTATTCAGCCTTGATGTTGATGGCATGAGGAATACAGGCCCAGCAGAGCACAGTGTTCAATATTATTTAAGAGACAGTGGAAGCCAGGCTCGGTGGCTCAGCCTGTAATCCCGCGCCTTTGGGAGACTGAGGGGGGGGGATTGCCTGAGCCTGTGGGTTCGAGACCCGCCTGGGTAACTTGATGAGACCTCATCTCTACAATAAATCAAAAAATTAGCTAGGCATGGTAGCGCCCACCTGTAATTCCGGCTACTCGGAAGGCTGAGGCGGAAGGATCGCCGGAGCTCAGCAGGTCTAGGCTGCGGTGGCCGAGAGCGGCCACTGCACTCCGGTCTGGGCGACAGAGTGAGACTCCAGCTCAAAAAAAAAAAGAGACAGTGGAAATTCTGACTCTAACCTAATGTTTAAAGTGTTGATAAAAAATAGGAGTGTTTTCAAAAGTAGCATACATGCCACATAAAAACACTTCTGGGAGTGGCTGTAATTTCCCACTCCTAAACACTCCTGCCCCATCCAGTTGTTGACCTCCAGGGAAGAGGGGTATACCATAGACTGCATGGGTGGCCTTTGTGTTCCATTTCCTTCCCCAAACCCTGAAATCCCACAGGGAATGGAGGGAGGTGGGAGTCTCTTTGTTCCTCTCACTGGTAGTGCTGATTCTGTACCTATGGGAATGGCAGTTTTGGGCTACCAGGAGGAAGTTGGTACTGCAATGGAAAAACTAAAAGAGGTGTTCACTTGTACAAGTCAAAAATTTGAACCTTTAAGACAGTGCTACCTATTGAGTGTAAGGGCTTTAGACTATTATCAGTCATACAGGGTACTATTTATGATGAAGTTCATATTTATAGTCAAACTCAACCTTAGCTTTCTCATTTAAAACATGGCAGACTGGGCTTGTTGAAGGTCTCTTGTAGAAGTGTCGTCACTGAACTTTTCTCATTCCATTTGGATTATGTTAATGCCGGGCTCGGTGGCTCAGCCCGTAATCCCGCACCTTTGGGAGGCTGAGGTGAGTGGATTGCCTGAGCCCGCGGGTTCGAGACCCGTCTGGGCAGCGAGACCTCATCTCTACAATAAATCAAAAAATCAGCCGGGCGTGATAGCACATGCCTGTAATCCCGGCTACTCGGAAGGCTGAGGCGGAAGGATCACCGGAGCCCAGCAGGCGAGGCTGCGGTGGCCGGAAGCGGTCACTGCACTCCAGTTTGGACGACCCAGTGAGACTCCAACTCAAAAAAAAGAAAATAAACACAGTTAACTTACAAGTAGGCCCAAATTCCGTAACCTCTCTCCTGAAGCCATGTAGATTCTTCAGATTTTTTTTTTTTGAGTCAAGGTCTCACTCTGTTACCCAGGCTGGCGTGCAGTAGCATAATCACAGCTCAGCTGGGCTCAGACAATCCTTCCATGTTAGCCTCCCAAATAGCTAGGACTACAGGCACATGCCACCATGCCCAGCTAATTTTTTGATTTTTTTGTAGAGATGAGGGCTCGCTTTGTTGCACAGGCTGGTTTCAAACTCCAGGGCTCAAGGAATCCTCCCAACTCGGTACTCCCAAAGTGCTGGGATTATAGGCATGAACCACCATACCCGGCCCTCTTTAGAAATTTGATCTTGGAAATTACATAAATGTCCCAAACAGTATGTGGGTGTGTGTGTATCTGTAAGTGGAGTTATGTTGAATTAGGGATTTAGTCTAGAACTCTGTTGTGATAGAATTTGTTATCATTATTAGGAGGCTGAAGAATACATTCTTTAGTAGAGGAAAATGTGTCTCCAAGAGGTTAAGTGACTTTCCAGGGTCACAAGCTAGTCAGTGTTAGAGTTGGGGCCAAAATCCTATTGTCAACATGCCCTTGCCCCCATTATTCTTATGTTGCTCATTGCCTCATTATGTCCTCATCTCCAAATCAGAGATACTCTCTAAGACTCTTCATCTTTTAAATTTTATTCCATTTTCTTGCACATCCAGTTGAACTGTATTTGTTCTCTTGGTATTAATGTAGGCTGTTGATCAGGTGATGTAAAGAATATTTTCAGAATAATGTTCCATTTTGTCTTTTCAATGTATATGTGTAGCATCAAATTGCTGTCAGTTTACAGTTAACTGCACAAATTAAGAAGTTGTTGGGAGCCGGGCTTGGTGGCTCAGCCTGTAATCCCAGCGCTTTTGGAGGCTGAGGTAAGTGGATTTCTTGAGCCTGTGGGTTCGAGACCTGCCTGGGCAACTTGGTGAGACCTCATCTCTACAATAAATTAAAAAATTAGCCAGGCGTGGTAGCGCGCGCCTGTAGTTCCAGCTACTTGGAAGGCTGAGGCGGAAGGATCGCCAGATCCCAGCAGGGCGAGGCTGCGGTGGCCGGGAGCGGCCACTGCACTCCAGTCTGGGCGACAGAGTGAGACTCCAACTCAAAAAAAAAAAAAAAAAAAAAGTTGTTGGGAAGCATGTAAAATATGTGCAGCAGTAGCTGCCTTCTAGTTTTGGTCTTTTTCTTTCTTTTTTAATTCTGGAAAGTAATTCTAATCAGACAATCTTTTAGTTGTAATAAAGACTACTAGGTAGCATTGGGTATTTTTCTCCCTTAAATTTCCTTCCTCAGAACCCCTTTGTTCATTTGTCAGCTCAGTTTTAAAATAAGAACTATCAGTGTGAACTTTGATCCACATTAAGCTACATTTACACGAAAGCATAAATCATAGTATCTGGGGTTTGGGGCCGTTAAATGCTTTTCTTTCTTGGGCTCTGTGATCAAGAATGCAGAACAATAAAAAGCGTGGAGCAAAAGAAGTTTTATGGCAGCTTTGAGAGCAGGAAATTAAGTTTTTTTAACATGCAGATGGGTGAAAGGCTGTTCTATAGCATCTTGGATCACTCAGGCAAGTGAACGTCAGTTTATCATTTTAGTGAAATGCAAACTGTAGAAATAGTTTCTGCAGTCATATGAACAAGGAGCCCACACAGATGCTTGCTTCAGCTGTTTAGGAGCTCACTTCCTCATGATTCTCTTGAAATACACTCTTTTTTAAAACAACAACAACAAAGACTATATACTATTATGTCTGTAGCCAAGTGGCTAAAAGGATAACTGAGACTATATGAACAATAGAGTAAGATAACATATTGCCAGAATGACCTTCTGTATATTCTTTAACATACAGGATTGGTTAGCCCAGCTATATAATCCATGCACAGCTTTATAATCCTTATATGTAGGCCATGTCTACGTGCAACATGAGGATGCAGGTGATCTGGAGCCCAGGACAGATGTAGTTTGTGTTTGGCTTTTTCACAACTGATAATCTGCCAGCAGGGTCAAAGCTATTCTGTATCAGTCCTAGCAGTTGTTAAAATGGGTCAAATGATTGAATGGGTTACTCTGCTTGTTTAGTACATGCCCAGGCTTTGGTTTAATTATAGCCAGACTTCTAAACTTTTTGTGATGAAGAACTTCTTTGCTGCTCTCCTGGGGATAGGGGTGCAAAAGAAATATCATTGCACCTTAAGATCTGGTGCTTGGCTGTAATTTCTATTTCCTGGATTTAGAGAGGTTTGCTGAGCCTTGATCAAACTCATCAGAGATCTTTACAAGTTGAACCACTGAAGGATTTGTGCATTGGAGAAACTCAGGTTCCGTTGATGTTGAGCACATGCATTTATTTCCCCTCTTATATTAATTCTGCTAAACTTTACAATAGAACATTTAATTAGGAGTTGATGCGTAATACGTACTATTAATAGCCAGTTTGTGTGTTTTATGTGAATAATCAAGTTTATATATTTTATATATTCAACAGACTAAATTTATGTGTTTTAGAAGTGATTTAATTCATTATATTTTATAAAGTACTTTGAAAACAATTTTAATCCAGCTCCTGTACTTAAATGTCCAATGATGTGTACGTTATTATTTGTTACTGTTTAATGGAGTTTCTCCTTTGGAAAATGTTATAAGTTTAAAAGTAAGATTTTATTACAACTGGGAAATAGCCTTAATTTTACAAAGCATGTTTCTTTCCCATCTCCTGAGGCTAACGGTTGTCCATTGGTGAATTTGGAAGAACATTGAAAGCCGCCTGTGATTTGGGAAGCTAGTGCTTTCCTGTTTACCTTGTTTGGCATGAAAAGAATAAAAGGCTCATTTCTATTCTATTTTGTATTTTGGCACCTTTAAAACACTAAAAGCATATTTTAATTGCAAATAGAATTTGGAATGGTGATATATTCTAGAAATGATGTAAATAGATTGCATTAAAAAGAATTCAAGGAATGCAGCACTACTGCAGTAAGCCTGTCTGTCTTTCAGGTTGACCCCCTGTTTACAGTGCCAGCACCACCACCACCGATTTCCAGCAGTCTCACGCCTCAGATTCTACCCTCCTACTTTTCCCCATCTTCATCCAATATTGCAGCACCAGTTGAACAGCTTTTGGTTCGGACTCGTTCTGTGGGTGTCAATACCTGTGAAGTTGGAGTAGTGACAGAGCCAGAGTGTCTTGGGCCCTGTGAACCTGGGACCAGTGTGAATTTGGAAGGGATCGTGTGGCATGAAACAGAAGAAGGTAAATACAATTTATTTTTATATATTTCCCCGTGCCCTCTTCCCCATGATGTATTTATGTCCGCCTGTGAGGGGAATTCGTTTCGTGGAATTCAGAGAGGAAAGAAAAATGGTTTTTACCCTCTCTGGATTTGTGTTGAAATAAGAACTATGTTTGTCTTCTTGTGCTTGGCTACTTTTGCATTTAGGGTAAGTTGAGTGTCCCAAAAGTGATTCTCCTCTTTAAGTGCTAACATGAAAGGATTGTAAGAAGCAGGGTCAGGGTTTACTTTTCTCCTAAAAAGTATTCTGGAAATTAGGAAGGGAGATGGCTCTCAAGTTTATTTTGTTCTTGGAGTGCCAGCCAGCCAATGTCTGTCTTGACATGGTTGTTTTTGTGTTGCAGAGGCTTATATTTACCTTCTGAATTGAACAACAGTTCTTGCACATAGTAGAGTCTTTTGTCATGATGTGGTTGTGGCTGGTTGGTGCTCAGAGATAATAAAGCCAAGGTCAAAGGCTTAAACCTGATTAAGCCAGTCACTTCTCTTCTATGGCCAGAGACATAGAACCTGTCTTGCCTTTTAACTCAGTAAGCTGTTTGGCAAGGGCAATCCATTAGTCACAAGAGAAAAAGCGTTCAAGAGAAATGGATCAGGATTAATCTATCATTGCTATTGGAAATATAAACCAGAGCATATGCCATGTTAATAGTGGATCCAAATTATGGTTGGTCATGTCCTAAAACACGTCATCATCAGGTACAGAGTGTTTCAGATGGCCAGTGTCATTAACAGACCAACCAAGAATTGAAAATTAAGTACCAAGGAGACTTCTGTATTGCTCTGTTGGGGAACTAATAGAGTTGGAAAGATAAGGAAGAAACGTACCCCAGGGTACACCAGAGAAACAAAGGAAAAGGAAAAAGTGAGAGCTGGGGGTACTTTTTTCCCTGTAAGCTAGATTGGTCAAGGATATAGGAGATGACAGTTGTCATGTCACAGTCGTTTGCCAGAGATATAAGGGCAAGGATGATGTAACAAGAAGGGTCTGAGACACAGAATTATTCATTAAGTTATTTTGAATCAAGGGGGCAAAATTGAGGAACAAAACTCAAAGGGAGAAGGTAAAATGTATGCAGAAGAGGCTGAGTGGATGGGAAAAGGAGGAGATATGAAGGCAATTAAGATAATTGCTGGGCAAAAAGTAGTTGAGAAAAGATAGTGACAACTGGGAAATAAAAGAAGAGAATAACAATGAAGAATGAAAACCCTGTGACAGGTGTAAGTGTAATTGCCAGAAGGCAGAAAACAACTTAAGTTGTTTCAAGATAGAAAAACAAAAACTCGACCTGGTGCAGTGGCTCACTCCTATAATCTCTGCACTTTGGGAGGCTGAGGTGCGAGGATTGCCTGAGCCCACGGGTTCAAGACCAGCCTGGGCAACTTGGTGAAAGCTCATCTCTACAATAAATCAAAAAATTAACCGGGCATTGTGGTGCATGCCTGTAGTTCCAGCTACTTGAAAGGCTGAGGCGGAAGGATCATTTGAGCCCCGCCAATTGAGGCTGCGGTGACCGTGAACAACGTGCCACTGGACTCTAGCCTGGGTGACAGAGTGAGACTCCAACTCAAAAAACAAAAACAAAGACTCTTAGAGAATTCTGCATATTACATTAAATATACTCTTGTAGGATATATTTTATAATTAAATTAAAACATTTTATAGGTAGCACCAATAAGGAAGAATAAAGACTTAATTACACGAGAAGGAATCAGAGAAAGGAAACCAAAGTAGTAGGGGTCTCTTTTTCGCTCTAATGAAGTGCTTAAAATTTACTTTTGACTTTGGAGATTTTGGGTCTCCTCCCTTTTTGTACTTTTAGGATAGTTTAGGATTTTCAGATATTCTGAAAAGCCATTTAAAACAATACTGTGGAACCACATTGGGAGGAATTGATATAGGAGGAGCCAGAATTAAAATGTCTCATCTTGCTTGTCTGTTCAGACCTGCTCCAGTGTGAGAGGTCCCATGTGGAGAGCATGCTTCTATCTCATTACCTCTCTTTGGGATGTGCCCAGTTTGCCTTCCCTTAGATTTACCCTTGAGCAGGAAGTGGTGGGTAAGGGCTTCAGACTGACACCTTGGTGTGAAAAATATAGAAAAGGAATCAAGACATTAATAAGGTCACAGTGAATTCATTTAGGTGTACATTTTTAGGAACAAAAAGATTTGGAAAGAGTAGGGGTTAATCTCCATATACTTGAACATCCAATGTTCTTGCACTTGGGTAATTTACTTGTCAGTGTGAAGCGCTGTCTTCTCATTTCTTAGCTGTGACTTAGTGTCCATCAGTTTATTGCTAGTCATGATTTTATTTATTCAAGTGAGTTCCTGCAGTGTGACCTTACTAGGTGGTAGATGTTGTGAAATTAGCCACAAACTTTCTGGAATAGCTGTAAGGTCTGGGTTATTTTTCACTATGTGTAGAAGTCTCTTAGTTTTGACTTTTAACCTTAGTCTAATAAAAGATAAGATTATTTAGAAAAAAATCTGTTTTAAAACAATAGTAGTACATGAATTGATTGGAATTCTGATACTCTGGGCATATATACTTAAAGAGCTGTAAGGTACTATCATTATTACTATTTAATAGTGGTATACATAAAACCTCATTAGTTCCACCTGTCCTCTGAAAAATGGGTCTCCTGAGTCTGTCGTTGCTGCTTTTATAAGCTGTGCTCCATCCGTGTGGATATCTTTGTACATTCATATGGCAGACTGATAGCTTTAGAAGGTTTTCAGGCCGTCAGCATTTCCAACCATCCCTTTACTGCCTCACATTTTCCAGAATTTGGAATGTGTGGATGTTTACTGTGGTGACAAGAAGGAGCTGGAGCTGTTAATAGAGTTATTCTTGCTGAATAAACTAAACTTCTGACCTCTGAAGAATTTAAGAACTCGTCTTAGTAAAAGGCCTGGGTCATAAGATGTGTGTTTAATGTGCAATCATTTTCAAGAGCGTTCCATTTGCATTCTTTCTCACTACAGTGTGTTCAAAGCTCTTGTACCAATTTAAAAATTAAACCCACTTGACCATTAATATTCCCCTTTTGGGAAAAACAAAAAGAAACAGAACAAACACGTTTGGAGTAAGTTATTTGGCAGAGCTAAAATAGATGGATTTGAGAAGAAGGGGAGGGGAAAGTAAGTTACAATAATTTTATAGTATGAGTTTCACTAACAAAGAGCTTCAAGTCAAGCACTTATAAAACTGTCAGATGCCTTTGACTAATGTCCTGTAGATTCTGATGAATAAAATTCTTCCCTGGTGTTTTCCATTTTGAGAGTATTGTATAGCTGATAGTGTTTTCCACAAACCTAATTTGTTATGTGCACCCACATATGTGTGAAGGTTGTAGATGTGTGTGTGTTTTAAGATCCTAGAATTTTTTTTTTTTTAGGCCTTTGTCAGATATACAGTTGGCAAATATTTTTTCCCAAGATCCTAGAATTTTAAAGGTTCATATCTGTACTCTTGAATATTCTTTTTTGTTTTTGTTTTTTTGAATTGGAGTCTCACTTTGTAACCGAGGCTGGAGGGCAGTGGCATGCTCCCGGCTTACCGCAGCCTCGATCTGCTTGGCTCCTGCGATCCTTCCGCCTCAGCCTTCCAAGTAGAGGGAACTACAGGTGCATGCTACCACGCCCAGCTAAATTTTGGTTTATTGTAGAGATGAGGTCTCGCCAAATTGCCCGGGTGGGTCTCAAACCCATGAGCTCAGGCAATCTTCTCGCCTTGGCCTCCCAAAATGCTGGGATTACAGGCTGAGTCACCGAGCCCGGCCACTCTTGAATATTCTTATGATTTCTTTGGATGGTGGTGGGGAACAGCAAAACTGGAATAGGAAATCCCCATTTAATGCTCGATTGTTTCTTGTGTTTGGAATTCCTCATTGAGGAGGATTCTTTTACTCAGTCTTTCTCCTTAGTGTTAGTGCCAGTACCTGAGGCCCTGGTTGTCCAAGAACCTAGTTGTGCTCAGGAATAAAGTGTTATTAGTAAAGTTCCCTCTGGAAAAAATAAGTGGCTTTCAGATCATGCTTAATATGAGAGAAAAACTATTACTGCATTTGGATGTTTGGTTATTTTACTCTGCTCTTTTTTCTTGAAGGTGAATACATAGGGGCAATGATGTATTGTACAAAATTACTCACAGATGTTGGAAAGAATTTCCTTAGCATTTCATTCCTGACATTTGGGACACACATGCCTGTGTGTAGTTATTTATTTGAAAAGTGCTCTTTTGAAACAAACAAACAACAACAAAAATCTCCAAATCTGAAAAAAACATGGTGTATACACCAATGTGTGTAAATACATATGTGTTGAACTTGGCTTTTTAGCTCTCATGAATGTGTTTTCCTTTTGATTTTTATTTAATCATGTTTCTGATTGGACTTTTTTTTCTTTTTACCATTCTCAAGAGCATATTTGGTTCAGGTGGTCATCATCCATTGTTACAACTTTCGTTTACTACTGCTTTGTCATTTCCTACCCTTTCACCTTCCTAGTGGTTAAGCAAAGCCACTGAAGAAAAGGAAGTGAGAGAAATAAAACTGACATTTTCGAGCAACGGCCTTTTAAACAGCTATCGGTTATAGAACAGTGGTTCTCAATGCTGTGCCTTTGAATCACATGGGGACCTTTTAAAACCTGCTGATGTCCAAGCACCACCCCAGGCATTTAATTGGTCTTGATTGGCATTTTGGTCTGATTTGGTGACCTGGCCTTGGTGTTTTGTCAAAGCTTCCCAGAGGTCTCTAATGTATAAACAAGGTTGAAAGAACCATTGTCTCAGGAGAAACAGTGGATGTCTAGCCCTTTGCAAGTTCCTTGGCTGTTTCCCTTTAAGGAAACCACATCATTGCCTTACTTTCCCAGGTATAAAATGGGCAGGAATATCTGCCCTGTGTACCTCACAGAGTAAATAGTGCCTATAGAGATGCTGTGGTTGGGAGG